AGGTGCCCCCCCCCCCGGGCTCCTTACTGCCGGAGCTCCGCTCCCGTGCGCTCCGGCAGGGAATGACCCCTGGTCGACACCCAAAGGTGGACTCCATGGCATCCCTGCCCTCCCCAGGCCGCACCTCCAAATCTCCAGGATTCTCCCAAACTGGGGCTGGCCACCCTACCCCCCGCATCCCCTGCTGGTGGCCGGAAGAGACCTGGCAGCCTGACAGCTGAGCTGCCCCCACCTCAGTATCTGCTGACGCCGGCCTTGAGCCAGACGCCTCCCTTGCTGTTGACCCCTGGGAGTCAGCTGGAGCCCGAAACTGCACAACCCACGCCTTCCACGTGCCACCCTACACAGTCGCTTAACTGGGGAACCAGCCCCGCCCAGTCACGTGTAGGCCGAGTTGTCTGCTCAGCAGAGAAGGGGCCTCTGCACGTGCCCAGAGGCCTCCTTGCTTTTCTGGGCTGCACCTTGGCACCGCGAACAGATTCTGGGCTCCCAACCCCGGTTCTGATGCCTTTGTCTCCCCCTTTCCTCTCCTTCGCGAACCGGCTCCACCACGCTGTAAATTCGGGAGGAGGCTTACGGCGTGCCAAGTCATATGGGCCTGACTCCCAGTCCTTGGCCGGTCCTTCGCGTGCCCCAGATTCGAGACGGGAGCAGCGCTCGCAGCTGCCGGCAAAATGAGTCAGACACGGAAAGTCTGATTCCGCCCGGGAAATGTCAGCGGTCGGCTTGGCTCGGGAAGAGCTCTCGTCGCGTGCCGAAGCCCTTACAAGACTCATGTTCTCTGGCCCCGGGGAGGGGAGGGGGGAAATGGATTCCCCACCTGTCTGCGTTTCCTCTCCGAGCAGATGCCTTGGCAAAACCCACGTGGACCCACCTGTGTGGCTGGAGGGGGGGGGTTGTATCGGTGAACTCCTTCGGGACCCTTCACTGGAGGGGGCGGGCTCCTTTTCTGGCTGGCCGTCCCACGCAGTTAAGAAGAGCTAGAATCCCCAACCGGCGGGCGAGGGCCTGGCGTTTTCCCGGGATTAGAACTCGTATCCAGACTGCAGGGATCAGCCGCCCCGGAAAAAATGGCCGCTTTGGAGGGACAGCACTCTCCCCCCTTCCCTAAATTCCACTGCCCCCAAATCTCCAGGAATTTCTAATCCCCCAGTGAGAAACTTTGGCTCACAGAACACTTGTGTTTACTTATGGAATTCCTCGGATGCTTCTTCCAAAGGCGGGCCTCCATGAAAAGTTACTAGCTGACAAACTCTTTGCTGTTAGGCAGTATTTATCCTATGTGTGGGGGGGGATTAATGTCCCGCTTTTGGGGAGAACTCCCATGTCTGCTCACTTGCAGGTGAGTTCTCCTTCTCTCTAAAGGCCTGGGTTCGAATCAGGGTGGTCCCCCCCCACCGCCCCCTGCATATCAGGTTATTGCGTGCGTGCATCGGCCAAGCCATTTCTCAAGTGCTCACAAAGGAGGGTGGCCAGGTGCCCACTGAAGATCTCCCACTATTACAACTGATCTCCAGATAGGGTTGCCAAAAACCCCAGTTTGGCACTTCGAAAGCAAGAAATCGCAGGTAGATAAATAGGTACCACTTCGTTGGGAAGGGAACAGCGTTCCGAGCGCCTCGGTGTTCAGTCCTGCCAGCCACATGACCACGGAAACGTCTTCGGACAGCGCTGGCTCTTCGGCTTGGAAACGGAGATGAGCACCGGCCAGGGCTCTTTTTGTAGAAAAAGCCCAGCAGGAACTCATTAGCACAATAGGCCACACCCAACAGCAGGAACTCATTAGCCTATTAGGCCACACCCCTGACAGCACAGCACATTAACATATTAGGCTACACCCCCATGTTATGGTCATCCAGCCACACCCACCTTTTGCTTCTTGTTCTGTTTACCCTGCCTGTTGTCAAAACCCAGGGCCTTTTTTTGTAGCAGGAACCCCTTTGCATGTTAGGCCACACACCCCTAATGTAGCCAATCCTAATGAGTTCCTGCTGTTGGGTGTGGCCTATTATGATAATGAGTTCCTGCTGGGCGTGGCCAACTCCGGAGCCAGCCGGAACTCCGTTCCTGTGCGTTCCTGCCCCAAAATAGCCCTGAGCACCGCAACCCTAGAGTCGGACTCGACTGGCTTTCGAGCAAGGGAACCTTTACCTTTGCCCTCCCCCAAGCCCCAACACCCGCCGCCACCCCTCTCCTTTCTCTCTTGGCTGTGGGCCAGCCACCCGCCCGATCTCCATGGTCAGGTGCGCAGGAAAGCGCCAGCTCCCTGCAGTTAAAGGGGCCCCTTTAACTGCAGGGAGCCAGCGCCCCTGTCGGGCAGGCGGGACATCCCCAATGTGACGTCATTACGTCGGGGATGGCCCGCCCCCTCCACGAACGCCCCCCCAAAGTCTCCCACTGGGGGTGAAGATAGGACTCGGCAACCCGACCAAGATCAGTTCCCCTGGAGAAAAATGGCTCCAGAGCGAACTGATTTCTGCAGCCACCGAATCGCTCGCTCACAACGTCACCGCCGGTCGCTCACCAAGTAGAATTTTTGCTCACGAGACTCCACAGCCTTAGAGGGAGCCTTGGTTGCCAGCTCCAGGTTGGGAAACTCCTGGAGACTTGTCAGCCGCTTTGGGGGAAAGGCAGGGGGACGCTTGAAGTAAAATAAGAAAGGATCCCATCCGGCAGTCCTGCTGATCGATTCCAGCCGCCTTTCTCATCTTTTTCATAGATTATTTCTTCTCTCTTTTTGGCTCCGCAGGAGAATTTGGCTCCGTCATGGAGGGCCAGCTCAGCCAAGACGGGGCAGTCCTGAAAGTCGCCGTTAAGACCATGAAGAGTAAGTAGCTGTGGGAGAAGGGCCCCGATCCTTCCTCCAGACCTCATCCCCTGCTTGTAACATCTGAGGTTACTGCCGCATTTCCAGGGACACTGCCTCTAAACAAAAGGATACCCCCCACCCCCCACCGGGGGCCTTGCGGAAACCTGGCCACCCTAGGTGGGACCTGGGGGACCCCCTGGAATTACAGCCCATCTCCAGACTACAGAGATCAGGTCCCCTGGAGAAAGTGGATCCTTCGGAGGGTGGAGTATAGCATTGTACCACTGAGGTCCCGGTCCTCCCCAGGCTCCACCCCCAAATCTCCAGGGCTATCCTCACCTGGAGGTGGCAACCTACCCCTCAGCCGCCGCCCCCCCTCCACTAGAGGCTGGGCTGCCCTGGCGTCCCTAATTCAGAAGCCCATAGAATACACATTCACCGTGGTCTGGCAAATCCCTCGTCCTTTTATCTTTCCCGGACGACCCTCCCCTGCCCCGTGCTGCGAAAAGAAGTGCCCCCTTCCCAGATGCCCGAAAGCCGCTGCCGGATGCGTGGAGGAGCTCCGGAACACACGCTCTCCAACCCGCTCTTTCTCACACGCTCTGGGGTCTGTGCCCGGGCCCTGCAAAAAAGGGGGTGGGTCCAGTGTTCCCTCTAAGCTGAGTCAGTGTGAGCTAGCTCACAGTTTTTATAGCCTCCGGCTCACACATTTTTGTCTTGGCTCAGGCAGGGATGGCTCCGGGGCAAACTAACGGATGCAGGGGCCCAATCGCTCGCTCACAACTTTATTGTCGGTAGCTCACAAAGTAGAACTGTTGCTCACAAGACTCCACAGCTTAGAGGGAGCATTGGGTGGGGTCCCCCAGCGCTCACGCCCACGCCCGCCTCTTTCTCCCCGCAGTCGCCATCTGCACCCGCAGCGAGATGGAGGACTTCCTCAGCGAGGCGGTCTGCATGAAGGACTTCGACCACCCCAACGTCATGAAGCTGATCGGTGAGATGAGAGGGACCGTGTGGGAGACCCTTTGAGCTGCGGCGTGTGAAGGGTTAATGCCAAGTGGGCCCTTCGGGCGTGGCCGGGGGGGAGGGTGCGTTGTGTCTGCGTCCCCCCTCCCGTGTCGCTTCTCCACTGTCCTGTCGCTAGGGTCCCAAACTCCAGGCGGACCCCTGGAGTTCTCCCGGGATTATAATCAGCAGGCCTGCAGCCAAGAATTTTTTTGTCTGGGGGGGCATTTCGATTTTTAAGGGGGCTGTTGAATTCCAGTTAATTAAATTAATCGGTCCTGCCAACCTAGCAGCTCGAAAGCAAGAAACTGCAAGTAGATAAATAGGGACCACTTCGGTGGGAAGGTGACAGCGTTCCGTGCGCCTTGGTGTTTAGTCATGCCGGCCACATGACCACGGAATCGTCTTCGGACAGCGCTGGCTCTTCAGCTTGGAAACGAAGATGAGCACCGCAACCCTAGAGTCGGACTCGACTGGCTTTCGAGCAAGGGAACCTTTACCTTTACTAAATAAATCAGAATGCCTGTCTTCAAAGGGGGGGTGGCTCTGAGCCTGTCTCTAGCCCTTCCTTTGAACTGACAGGGCAGCGAGCGCAATAGTGCCTAAGGGAAAAAAAGACCCCAGCTCAGGGGGCATTCAAATGCCTTTCGAGTTCCCTTCCACAGGGCGAGACGGCTTAGAAGGGCACTCAAGAGTGACGCCTTCAATACATCTCCCACAATCCCCCTTTCTGCTAACCCTGTCCTGCTGTAGACCACCTAGGTCACGGCGAGTCTTTCGAAAGCATTCCCATGAGCCTTTTAAAAATGCAAATTCATTTGGGGGCAGGGCTTTTGATTGAGGGGGCGGGCCCCCCAAATGCCCCACTGTTGCTACGGGACTGATTACAACTGGTCTCCAGAGAGCAGTCCCTCTGGAGAAAAATGGCTGCTTTGGAGGGCGGACTCTATGGCATTAGACCCCGCCCCCCCAGGCTCCATCCCCAAATCTCCAGGAATGTCCCAACCTGGAGTTGGCAACCGTATGCCAACTACGGCGTCCTGCCTTTGCTGAGCTTCCTCCCGTTCCCAAATTTCACCTCCCCTGGGCTCCGCCCCCCTTCCCCGCATTTCCTGGAATTTCCCACCATGGAGTCCTCAACCCGGCCTGTTGCTAAGGCTCGCCTCCCGATTTTATTGATGGGATCGTGGGGGAAGTGGGCCGAGGGGGGAGGCTTGGAGAATCTGGTTTGGTCCCGTGCCCCTGGGTATTCCGGGACAAGGTGGGTTTGCCCGGATGCCAGCACACGCTCACTCCGTTGCGGATTCTTGCAAGCCTTGTAGCATGGGAAACGGAAGAGAGGAAAGAGCCTTTGGATGGAGGGGGGAAGGGGGACGGATGGATCGTCCCTGGGGAACAGGCCCAAAAGTGACAGGGAGGAGAGGGGACTTGGGAAAACAGATGTTGGCACAGAGGCTGGGAGCTCTGACGAGGATGGGGCCTTGCGGGGGCGACGGAGGGAGTGGGTGGGGGGCTTCGGCTGATGCAGAAGGCCGCTTTTACGGCCTTCCTCCCGGAGTCTCCCTGGTTCCCTCTTTGGTTCACATTAAGGAAAGACGGCAGTAAATAAATAACATTCAGCTAGAAGGCCTGTGGAAAGCAGATGTCCTCCACTCCGAGGGCCCCAAGGCAGGCAGTTTTCCTTGGGAAGCCCTGGGTAAAGTAGGGGGCAAGAGGGGACTTGGGGGTCAGCTGCTGGGCTAACTCGAGAGAGGCTCCCTCCTGATTTCCCCCTCCCTGTCTTTATCCACCGAGGAGTTTTGGGAGGGATAGCCGAATACACAACCAAGGCTTGTCCATTCCTTCCTTGAAACCGAGAAGACTTTGTACTTTGACCCATAGGTTTCCATTCCCAGGCTTGGCGAAAGGACCCCCAGAGGGTCTTGGCTCTTTCCCAGCCCGTTTTCTCTGATGCAAGGGTGCCCAACATGGTGCCCGGGGGAACCACAGCCCCCACTGATACTTTTTCTGGCGCCAGGCAAGTGTTGTTAGAAAGTGGGCGGGCCCAGGTGGAGCTTTCCCCCAGCAAGGCTTCTGATTGGCCTTTGGAGATCTCATTGGCTGTGCAGATTTTTAAATATTTTCGCTTTGGCACCAGATGCCACCGCAGCGCAAAAATCTTCACTGTGTGACTGAAGGTAAGCCATGGCAGCCTTTGTAAGACTGGCACTGCCCCCTTTGTGCAGCCATTTTGTGGCAGCTGTTCTGTGGCTGCGTCCACTGCACTAGGTCAGAATTCCAAAGGTGCACAGGGTCAAAAAGGTTGGGGACCCCGCCTCTAATGAATAGCTGGGGGTGGGACCTGCAGGGTTCCCTTTTGCTTTCAGTCCAGAATAGGGTACTCACGGGTTCACACAGTAGAGATGAGTGTATTCCAAGCGTCCCTTTATTAGCAAGGAGATACAGGGATGGGAGCAACTGGTTTCAGGACATGGGAGCTCAGGCAATCTGCAGTTCTAACTAGCAAACAGAACTAACCAGCAGGAACTCCACCCCCTGGGACTAAACCAACACACACACACACATATCAGAGGGGGGAAGCAGACCGTTCCATTGTAATACATACAATAAATGTATCCTGGGACTTAAAACCCTGATAATCTCCATCCTGGCTTGCTTTTCTGTCTTGGCCACAGGAGTCTGTTTACAGAACACAGAAAGCGAAGGGTACCCCTCCCCGGTGGTCATTTTGCCCTTCATGAAACATGGAGACCTCCACAGCTTCCTGTTATACTCCCGGCTCGGGGAGACCCCACTGGTATGTAATCTCACCACCACGATTAACCACCACGATTAACAACTATTACAGCTCGTAGAGCCTGGTTCCTGGTTGGCTATCGACAGCCTAGGTGCGCCAATTATACTGAAGATCAGTTAACTGGATATCTAACCAACTATGGAGTGTATTCGTACGGAAACTGCCATCGTTATGATATCAAAGAACACAGCTTGCATTTTAATATTTAATATGGTATTGTTTTAATTGACACGTTTTTAAGTGTTTTATGAAACTTTGAGTATTATTATGGATTTTATCTGCGTAAGCCGCCCTGAGCCTGCTTCGGCAGGTAGGGCGGGGTATAAGTGGGGGAAAATAAATAAATAGATGAATCGCTTTGGAACAGGTATAGGAAATTAATTGATGGTGTCCACAGACTGGCCACTAGAGGGGAACAAATGGCGGTCTTTGTTATTTGTTTTCCAAAACTCTCCTAAAAAGGAGAGAATTTTATTGCTTTTATAATTTTCAGAAAAGAGGGAGAGTATATAGAGGGATTAAGAATAGTGGTGAGTGATGATAAAATTAGTATATTAATCTTTTGTTAGTAATATTACATTCTGTGGCTTCTTCTGCGTTTGACTGATCTTCCTTCTTTATCTGTTAAAAGAAAAGGTGTTAACTATTTTAGTAATGTCCTTTCGGGTTATTATTAGTATTGTCCTTTAATGCGCTTTCCAGAAAGTTTGCCAGATATTGGGGTGTTTCCCTTTTTTGTCTCTCAAATTGTAGGGTGCGCGCCCTACAGCTCCTTCTTCTTCCGGTTCCTTGTCCCCCCTCTCGGAACTGCTGTCCTCCTCACTGCTAGATGCCATCCATGTAGCAAGTTCTGCTTCTTCCTCTGAACTGGATTTAAAGACTTCATCGTCATCTTCAGTATATTTGGATGCGAAATTATTGAGAAAGACACTTCGAAATGGGCATTTACTCGAGAAGTTCGTCTGTCTTCTGTCCACCTGTTCATCGACTATAAAAGACACATCATGAATATCATCTTCAGTGAAGATTGACTTACTTTTGTGTAAATTCATTTATTGTTTGTGCACACTTGCAGCAATCTTTGGGTTTATAGTACAGTTTTGTATTGCTGTTCCCCTAGGTATTTGTTGTGAATTTAACAACCACTTCGGCTGGCAGATTACTTTTCTTTGTAAAGTTAGAGTAGGCACAAATGGCGGTCTTTAGACATGCTACAGGAGGGGATTCTCTGCATAGGAGTCCAACAGGCATCCCCTCTTGGAGGGGGGGGATGATTTTTTTTGGAGGGGAGGCGCAAGATCCCCAAAGCAAACCCGCGCGCTCACGATAACAGCTGTGTTCTGCTTCCCCACCCCAGTACCTGCCCACACAGACACTGGTCAAGTTCATGACGGACATTGCTAGTGGGATGGAGTACCTCAGCAGCAAGAACTTCATCCACCGTGACCTGGCTGCCCGCAACTGCATGTGAGTGATCGGCACAGGGAGGGCGAGGGGCGCCGTGGAACCGACAGATGCAGGAGCTTAACGCTGGCTTGCTTTCATCCCCCCAAACCCCCTCTCACACGAGTATATCTCAGACTCACACACGCCTTCTTGGCCTCCAACAGGCTGAACGAGAGCATGACAGCCTGCGTCGCCGACTTTGGCCTCTCCAAAAAGATCTACAACGGGGACTATTATCGGCAAGGCCGTATCTCCAAGATGCCCGTCAAGTGGATCGCCATCGAGAGCCTGGCGGATCGTGTTTACACCATCAAGAGCGATGTGGTGAGCTAACCAATGGGGGGGGCGCTGTTGATTCCTCCCGCCCTGCTTCCCTTACAAGCCAATGAGGAGGTTGGCTTGCTATCCTGCTGGACCAATGGGAAAAGGTGGATTCTGGCTTGATACTTGACTGATGGTCTTTCCCCTAGTTTTGGATCAACGTCCCATATTCAGAGGTATACTGCCTCTGAACATGGGGGTTCTGTTCAATTGTCATGGCTAACAGCTGCTGATAGACCCCCCCGTGTTCTAACTGCTTCCTTGTAGTGGTCGTTTGGCGTCACCATGTGGGAGATAGCAACGCGAGGCCAGACACCGTACCCCGGTGTGGAAAACAGTGAGATTTATGACTACCTGCGCCAAGGCAACCGTCTCAAACAGCCAATCGACTGCCTAGATGGCCTGTAAGCACCTTCTGTTTCTCTGGCAACCAGGGGTCGTTTCGTAGAAAAAGAGCTAGGGGAACTCATTAGCATATGCCACACCCCCTGACATCACCAGAAGTGTGTCATAAGGCCACACCCCCTGACATCACTGGAAGTGTGTCATAAGGCCACACACCCCACCCCAAACGGTCCCGGCCGCCGGCGGTGGACCTGCAAGGCCAGCGGGAGTGCAAGGAAGCCCCGCGAAGGCCCTCCCTGGCCCCAGGCAGGCAGGGGTGGGGAAAGGCAGGGAGGAAGCAACTTACCCTCTCTCTTCTCCTGCCTCCTCCTGGCTGAATGAGGGCTGGAAGCGGGGCGGCCAGAAGCAGGGGGCGGGGCTTCATTGTGTGCCCCGCCCCCCATACCTCACCCGGGGGAACTGCGATCCCCCGCGATCCCCCCCGAAATGACCTCTGCTGGCAACAAGCCCCAATTCTGAAAGCCCTCGATCAAGGTCCCCGTCTATCTATCATGAGATATTCCCACAATGCATTGCAAGAGTGGTCCATAACCATAAGAACATTTCCAGAGATGAACAGGGGCTCATATGAAGCCTCCTGTACAAATGACAAGCTCTAGGGCAAGCCGCAGCTCTAATAGTTTTGCTGTTAATTTGGGAGGGATATGTGGGTTTCCGTGGTTGTGTTCCGCCATTGTTCCCACTTTCTTTCCAACACAACACAGCAAGCCCCTCCAATTAACCCCAGAACTGGGTTTCCTGCAGCCCCCGTTTCCTTCCAGTCGATCTCGTCGATCTCGTCTTTTTCTCCCCTCGACCACTCTGACGTGTACCTGCAAGACATATCATATGCAGTCAATTGAATGCATGCGGGTGGCAAGATTCCTTTTTGGGGGCTGGGTGTCAGTCAATCTTTCTAAGCACCCATGCGCTTCGGCAAGGTGGAGGGGAGATAACGAGACGGAAACAACCGGAAGGACCTTCGAGTGGCAGCGAGACCCTTTACGTGCCACGGTCTTAACCAAGTTGGCCTATCGAAACAGACGAATCGTGGGTCCCCAGGACACCGGTGCCGATCTGAAAATAAGAGCTGATCATCTGGAACTCCAAAATCTAGAGAGAGATGAGAATGAGATTTTTTTTTATCAATCAACCCCATATCATTGTTAGGGGCGACTCCAGTGAGGAGAGCCAAGTCTCCTTGCTGCTGATCATACGTGTCTCGAACGGATCCAGCGGCAGAAGCTTTCGGGGGGGGGGGTTCCCTACTGCAGACCACCTCCCCCCACACCTAGGGTGGCTGCATTCCAGACCCTTACGAAAGATCCCATCCGTAACTTCTCTCCATCTCCCTGCACCATGCAGATACGAACTCATGATGAGCTGTTGGGCCCTCAACCCACGTGACCGTCCCAGCTTCGAGGTCCTGCACGGGGCCCTGGAGAAGATCCTCAAGTCCCTCCCTCCCGCCAAGGACCCCGAAGAGATCCTCTACGTCAACATGGACGACGGGGTGGCGGCTGAGGAAGTGGAGCTGGGGGCCGTCGGGGGCCTGGGCGCTGAGGAGCCCCCCGCCAAGCAGAGCCAGGCCCTCAAGCCTGCCGTGACGATGGCCGAGGTGCACCCTCCCCAGGCGGTCGGCCGCTATGTGATGTGCCCCACCCCGCACGAGAGTACCCGGCTGCTGACTGATAGCCCCAGCCGTGCCGCCACGGAGGAAGGGGCTTGACTTAGACCCCACAGTTGGAGGGAAGGGAGGTTACAAGCAACCCTACCGCCAGAGTCCCCATAGCGTTCGGAAAGCCCCACCTCTGTGAGGAGGGGTTTTGTTGGACACCCCACAAACCTATCACCGCCCCCTCTTTCCCAGAACGAACCACTACCCCCAGGTCGTCTGGCCGCACTTTCCCTTCAGGGGTGATATCTGGGGGCTTCCTCCCCCTGGACGAACCTCTCCCCTTTTATGGGTGGGCTTCAAACCACTGAGTCCTTGCGGACGACTTCCTTCCCTACCCGCACCCCTCGCCAGTCCTTTCCAACACAAACGTTGGAGGTGCACGGAGAGTCCTTCTCAGATCACAGGGGGAAAGGGGTCCAGCGGGAGGGCACGACGGGTCACCTGACACAACTCGGGTTGCCCCTTTCCCCCTCCCCACACGTAAAGGGGACGCCGCAACCTCTGCTCTGTGGTTCCATTTTAGCTGGCTGCCACCCAGCTAAGGTGAACGAGGGTGGCCGCCCTCCCGTTTCTCTGCTGGCCCCATTCCTGCATCTTGATACGCAGCGGCCTGTCCGGGAGCTGCCAGGCTTCCGCAACCGCATTTCTGCATCCCCGGCTGCTGTTCAAGCACGGGAGTGGGGCCAGAGCGAAGCCAGCCACCCGACACCAGGTGCTCTTGGCATAGCCAAACGAGAGCCGTACGGGCCTTCCTCCCCTTCGGCTCTCTCTAGTCCCTTCCTTTTTTCACTGCCAGCTGTTCCACTGCCAGGACAACCCTACCCGCCCACCCGAAGCTGGCACAAACCTGGGCCGGCTAAGGGTCGTGGCGACGGAGGTACGGGGAACTCGGGTCTTCCCCGCAGCCGCTTCCCTCCCTTCCACCCCCTAGTCTCGGGAGGTGGCTGCGATACAGGGAAACGCTCTGTGTACGCTCAGATGCACTCTTCTTTTTTTAACTATTGCTTCTCAGGAGCCACCACCACCCCCGGCCCTCTGAACAGAACACATACGGGGTTCTCCCCGCAATGATTATTTCGCTGTTAGATTCAGCAGCCAGAAGACGGCGTGGCCCCCACAGCAGAGCCGGGCCTCCTGAAAGCTTGGGATCCTGTTGGCCCTGAGGCCAGCATGCCGAAAGGCACAGAAGCCATATCCAAGCGGGAGTCTCAGAGCGGGGCCACGAGAGGTCCGGACATCTCCTTCTCCTCCCCACCGCGCATATCATAGGTGGGTGAATAGCTGCCCTCTCCCAGCATCCACACTCAGCTAGGCTGCAGCCTGCCCGGTAGTAGCAAGGTTAGCTCAAACAATGCTGGAAACGTTACGGTTGTCATATCCTCTCTTTCTCCCTCCCCAAAGCAAAAGCAGGACAGACAGAGATTCAACAGGTCTCCTTGTCACTGCATCCCAGTGCTGGGGAAGCCTTACCTGTTGGACGCCTGTCACGCAGCCACTGAGACAAGCGGTGGCCTGTAATCAACCTCTCCCCACCCCGCATTCAGTTAGACGTGGCCTGAAGTCCCCAGGTCTCTAAAGCGGGTCCCGGCCATCTCTGACCACACAGGACTTCCTTGACGTGAACCATATAGTATTTGCAGACCCCGGTCCAGTGTTTCGACGGGGCTTGCACGGGAATCCTGGTCAGCCTCCGTTTGTGCCTTTTGATCTGTAGCAAAACCACTCGTTGCCTTATGGCACACGCCAACAATTGCCAAAAGTCCCTTCCCCTGGAATGTCACAGCTGCTTAGAAGAAGGGGAAACCGCCACCTTATTTCAGGAGTACAGGCCCTTTTGGTTCTGTAGATCAGATATGCAGAGTCCCTCGACGGGGGAATTTTGCATCTAGAAACATGCCCCTCACTGCTCACGTGCCCTCTCACAGCCTGGCCGCTTAAGAGCTCATCCGCACATTCTTATCTTGGGCCTTGCAGCCGTTCTTGTCCCCAAAAGTCCCTTTCCCTGGAATGTCGCAGCTGCTCAGAAGAAGGGGAAACCGCCACCTTATTTCAGGAGTACAGGCCCTTTTGGTTCTGTAGATCAGATATGCAGAGTCCCTTGACTGGGGGATTTTGCATCTAGAAACATGCCCCTCATTGCTCACATTCCCTCTCACAGCCTGGCCCGCTTAAGAGCTCATCCGCACATTCATATCTTGGGCCTTGCAGCCGTTCTTGTCCTGTATACTTTGACGATGTGAAAACAGCTTGCGTCAGCAATTGTACCAGGATGCCTCGTTCTCTCTTACCATGTCTGGCGATTTCCCAGCAAGGGAAGCTAAGCCAGAAGTTGATTGCACACAGCGCGGGTCACTCTGGCCGCAAGGAGAGAATCGCCTTTTCAGAGAGGGGACAGCCCCTGGAAAGATGGATGATCGCGCATGATGCACACATCCCTGTGGCTTTTGCCTCTGGCAAGCAGACCGAGAATGGGTTGGGTCACTGCAAAAACCAACCAACCTGTCCAAACGGAATGGGACAAAACCGTGCTTAAAACATTTCCCAGCAGAGCCACCTGAAGATGTGAGAGCCACACATGGTGTGCACTCTGGTGGTGCCAACTTGTTCTGTGGTCTTAAGACCTAGCTAGACACGACAGCAGTATGACCTGAATTGTGTGGCACAGCTATCAAGTGGTCAATGTGCACTGTGATCTTGAGCAGAGTTATACCTATTGGGGTTAACTGGTGTGGTTAGCCCACTTCCCACTAGTTATCAGAGTGCTTAAATAAAGCTACAAATGCAGCAGCATTACTTTACCAGGTTACTCAGCTTACAAAACTACACGGAGCCACGCTGCAAGTTTAGGAGAGAAACACTTCTCTCTTTATTTGAGAAGTACACTTTTGGGTAGGAAAGATGGAAGCAAATGGCGAGGGGGCCGTCTGCCTCAAGGTGCCAAGAGAGGACAGCATGTCATCTCTCTTGGTGCATGCAGGGAGAGAGTTCGTCATCATCTGAGAGAGTGAACAGAAGGAAGGAAGTTGTCCCAGAGAGCACAATCTACTTTTCAAAGGGGACAGTGGCAGAAGAGTAAACACAGGAAGAAAGGTCAGTGTGCCCATCTAGCTATCCAGTCTCTCTTGCCAATCTACCTATCCAGTCTCTCTTGCCACGAAGTCTGGAGGCTGAGGGAGGGACATCACATCTGGAACTTCCAACAGTACCTTTCACAGCCCAGGGATTTCAATGGATTTAGAAAGGTATAACCAGGGGCTTTTTTGTAGAAAAAGCCCAGCAGGCACTCATTAGCATAATAGGCCACACCCCTGACAGCGCAACTCATTGGCATATTAGGCCACACCTCCATGCTACCAGAAGTGTGGCCATCCAGCCACACCCACCTTTTTCTTCTTATTGTTTACTTTGTTGTCAAAACCCAGGGCCTTTTTTTGTAGCAGGAACTCCTTTGCATGTTAGGCCACACACCCCTAATGTAGCCAATCCTAATGAGTTCCTGCTGTTGGGTGTGGCCTATTATGCTAATGAGTTCCTGCTGTGCGTTGCAAACTCGGGAGCCAGCCAGAACTCCGTTCCTGTGCGTTCCTGCCCAAAAATAGCCCTGGGTATAATTCTGTTTAGCATGGCGCAGCCCATGAGGAATATGCCCCTTCCTTCCTTGGCTGTTTTTGCCCCTGAAACCACCTGTCTGGCTGTGTTTCTCCCACCGTGGTCTGCTTCCAGTCTCAGATCGTGCCTGAAAGGGATGGGATGCAGGCGACAGAAGCTATGAAGGGGAAGGGTAACCCGCCCACCACTCCTAAGCTTTACTGCTGTATGTCAGACAGGGCCAGTTCCCCAAAACAGTACCATAAGCAGCTGATCGGCTGGTCACAATAAGGAAGGTGCTCAGCTCTGGCACCCAGCCTCCAGTCGCATGGAAGGTGAGTGACTATCCCTTCCTGGACCTGCGCTTCTTCCTGCTGGGTACTGCGGGCAACACCACCCGACCTCAGCTTGGACCCGGCTAGCGATGGCACAGGAAGGGCCGTCAAAATACCTTGAACCAGCCTCAGGGTTAGGACCATTCCGCACCACAGGTCTGTCGTCCTCGTGTCCGGCGAAGGCCTGGATTTGCAGTGCGCTTTGCCAAAAGTAGCCTTGGCCGGGACCCCCAACTTGCACGGACTGTTCGAAAGAAGGGGAAGGGGAAACTGCTTTTCACTTTTGGAAGAGAGATGGCCCTTTTTCAAATCAGATTTCGCACGAGTGCCGTTCAGGTGTGAAATCATGTTTTCCATTCGGGGTTGCCTTCAGTCTTTCCCTTTGGATGACGGAAGGAAAGGATGAATGGGAGAAATTGGGCGCTTTCCATAAAGACTGTAAGACTGAGGGGGTCTCTCCCTCCTCATCCCCGGCCTTCAAGTGCTCCTATGCTAAAATAAAAGATCTTTTCTTTCGCTCTGCTGTATCGTGTGTACAGAACAGCCAAACTATTTTTCTCCCTAGGGACTCTTATTAATATTTTTTATACAAATGTATATACTTCTTTTTACAAAATGTATATTAAATGTTTTTTTTTTCACCCCCTTTTGTACAAAAGCACATGTTTCCCTCTCAGGGCAAGGTCTGTTTTTAGAGAAAGAAAGAGAGAGAGCTCTTTGATATATTTTGCTTATAAATAAAAGCTTTCTTTAAAAAAAAAAAAAAAGAGGTTTGGAACTTGATTTAATTTCTCGGCGAAAAGGAAACCAAGGTGGGAAGGCTCAAAGCTTCATGCTGGAACACATGCTTTGCGTAGATGAAGTCCAGGGTTTTAGTCCTATGAAAAGGTTTTGGTTTTAATAATGGCACAGCTGTTCCTCAGATGTTGCCTGTAATCCAAAAGCCTAGAATTAATATATGCCTTCCACTGTGGGCGAAATTGCATTTTCGCAATGTGTTTGAAGAGCAAAATTTCGTGGCTGTGAAAATTAGGTTCGGCCGGATCCCCGGCTATCGCTCTGTGAGGAAGTATGGTGTGTGATAGCATAGGACATAGGTATTAGCCAGTAGGCACCCACGATAACGGTGGTGCTGCTGACCAATCTCAGGCTGTGTGCTGGGCAGGGGTCATTTCGTAGAAAAAGAGCTAGGGGAACTCATATTAGCATAACTCATTAGCATATGCCACACCCCCTAACATCAGGGGCCCAGCGGTGGACCTGCAAGGCCAGCGGGTCATTAGCATATGCCACACCCCCTGACATCAGGGGCCCGGCGGTGGACCTGCAAGGCTGGCGGGAGGGGGAGGAAGCCCCGCCAAGGCCCTCCCTGGCCCCAGGCAGGCAGGGGTGGGGAGAGGCGGGGAGGAAGCAACTTACCCTCCCTCTTCTCCTGCCTCCTCCTGGCTGAATGAGGGCTGGAAGCGGGGTGGCCAGAAGCAGGGGGCGGGGCTTCATCATGTGCCCCGACCCCTGCCCCTCACCTGGGGGAACTGCGATCCCCCACGTTCCCCCCCGAAATGACCTCTGGTGCTGGGAGTCCCATCTCAAACAGCAAATTTCACCCCAGAATATACAATCCCCTGAATGTTCACTCCTGCTTTCATTCTGACGAAGTCATCTATTTGCTGGCACCAGGCGGGATAGAGTGGTTCTTTCTTTCCTGGAGTACTTTACAGACAAGATGGATTCACTCTGCCCAGCAGTGTCAAGGAGCAGAAGCGGGTGGCCATCTTAGATTTTCAGCTGCAGTGGCTAAAAGGGTCAGGATCAATGTTCCCTCTAAACTGGGTTAGTGTGAGCCAGCTCACAGTTTTTTAGCCTCTAGCTCACACATTTTTATCTTAGCTCAGGAAGGATG